GGAATGATGATGATACAGAACAGAGAGCGGGGGAAAGAGAAAGCGGCGGAGAGGATTATTTGGGAAACTGACGAACTTGACGGGTTTCCTACTTTCCTTTTCGACGAGAAATAATTAAATGCCGCCCTGGCCGCGTGAGGAAAAGATGCTATAGAATATAGGATCTTTCCAAATGACCAGACTACCCTTTTTTTTCCTTTTCTGTCTTCTGCTATAAAATAATCACTTTCCTAAATGGACCCTGAAAGATGATTAGGCAATATCTAAGACACCAAAGAGTTTTGATGAGATCCCAATAACTTTGATTAGATTGCTCTATCGGTTGATTTGATCGATCATAAAGTCATTAAATTGCTATGCACTTCCGTTAGGTTTTGCCCGCAATTTATAGGGGTGTTTTTATACATCCTAAATTAAATAAACTCTATTCGAAAAGATTTTTACATTGACAATCGGTGTAAACTTTTCTCTGTTCTCTTACGAAAATGAATGCCTTACGTCTTAGGCTGCGTTTAGAATCGGTGTAAATTGTGTAAAAATTTATATAATCATGATCAATGTAAAATTTCATTCCAGTTTAGTTTTATATGTATTTGAATGGAGTAAAACTTTACATCCTAAATCATGTAAAACCTCATGGAATGAAGTTCAATATTACTATAAATGAACAATATTATTATTATTGTTACTATATACACACCATACTTTTTTTATTTAAAAAAAAAATACTTTTTGTTTTTGATAAAAAAGCAGAATATCAACAAACACAAGCAATTTGGGAAATTGAACAAAAAGAAGCACCGTCAACCAAAATATCCGATTCAACTAAAAAGGCAAATATATCCGATGGATAACACCAAAGTGGAGGGTAGCTAAAGCTAATGCATTCTTCCTTGCAAACTGAAACTTGTCTTGCAATTAAGCGAATGGGGGCTACTCTATTCCCATTCCCGGTTCCTGATTCCTGAGTTCTTTATGAATTGGATTCTTCTTTGAAACAAAGCTGAACCTGACTGATCAATTCCCACATAACAACTTGAATTACTGCATCCATCAAAACCAACCCGGCGTCTGGAGAAAACAATGGCAATTGCATGCTTATTCACACTCTACTCACTATTCGCTTCACAAAAGCCGGCCGGCTAGCTGCTACTGCAAATGATGGAAGTGGAAGCCACCCTCCATCTCCATCTCCTGCATGCATGCTCATATTGATAGATTAATTGCAAACATTCCATAGGATTGGCATTGGCCCATTATTAAAAACAGAATTATTATGAATAATTCACACTTTATAACATTTCTCTTTTTTTTTTCTTTATCCCTTGACGCTTGATTCTTTATCAAATTGAAAAATTTAGGAAGCCATAATTCATATCAAATTGAAAATTTTAGAAAGCATTTTATAACTTTCGGTTCTTATGTTCAACATGCATATAGCTTTTGCAAAATCACAATCAGATATGAAGGAGGTGTTTGGCTAACATAACATCACAGCCACCCTAATGCTCTCAACTTGGGCTGGGTTAGCCCGACTTGTTTTCAAGTTGGGTTAAGGTTGAATCCTTGACCAGCATTTCATTAAACACAATCAGAGTACATTTTCAGTAAACAGAGAAGAGACTAGGTTTGAATCCTTGACCAAACCGCTGATAAAACTGCTTGGGAGTGTATACAAAGAAGATCTCTGCATCAAAGACAATGAGGAGGCCACCAAAAAATTTTTTCTAGCATAAAAAATAACAATGCCAACCCCTGCATAATTACTAGAGGAGAATGCACCGTCAACCCAAATGCTAACAAAACTTGCATGGGAGGCTCCGGGATGGTCTGCACTTTTTTTGAGGGCCCAAGCTGGGCGAGTTGGGTTCCTAAATGCTCAGGATCTGCACAACTAACCTTTACACCCTAACAAGAGAAGAGACTAGGTTAGGGATTTTATTTGAATGCAAAACAAGATTTATATTGCTTCAAATTTGACATACTATAATAAAATTAAAATGTAGAAAAAGAGTCTTATTATCATCTTTTGAAATCGAATTATCCTTCACTTAATGAATGATCGAGGCCCAAATTGAAACTCTGACTTCCCCATCCCCAACTGAGATCCTAACCAAATCAAATATACAAAGTCATAATGAAGGAGCACATGATCCATTGTTTCTAGCTGAAGATGACCGATAGGACAAGAGTCAATGATTACTAAACACATGCAGGTTATTATGCAAAACTCTCCACATAAAAAATAAATAAATAAATAATCATGGTAATGGCTCTAATATTCCAAACCATATTCTAGAGCATGATGGTAAGCTAATTTAACTAAAAAACTACCATTCTTCTCTAAGAGCCAAATGATTCTATCTTTCACATCCTCTTTAGGGATGTAAATCTTTCTAATTTCTTAAACTAAATTAGGAGGGAAAAGTTGATTAACCTACCCAAATCCCAATCATGTGAAGATGGATTCATAAGATCACTCTTACCTTCTCAATCAAGCAGCCTTGAACCTTGTTAATAGAGACTTTAAAATCCATGACTGAAGGTATCCAACGGCCACACCATACATTAATTGCATAACCATTACCAATTTGCCAAACCATCCCTTTTGCTAGCATCTTTTGACCCATCATACCACTAGCCCTCTGAGAGACCCTTTCCACTACATGATTGAAAGAGGCTCTTCTTAATCTTCCACATCTAGAGGCAGCCCAAGGTAGACACCTAAAAGTCAACCCTTTTAATCTTAAAAAACTTTGACATTAACCTTCGTAACTTGGGATGGTATTAGCACTAAAGGAGATCTATGATTTAGAGAGATTAACTTTTTGACCCAAAGCCAACGCAAACATCTTTAAGATAGAATTTATTCCCCTTCAACAAGGTTAGCTTTTCCAAAGATGTAACTATCGCCTATATAAAGAAAAGATGCAATAGCCGACAACCCCTATTCAATTAATGCCCAAAATTTTCTATACCTCTTGGAGGATGTAGAGAAAGCCTCTGAGACTATGAGAAGCAAGTATGGGGAGAGAGGGTCACTCACCCTAACAGAACCCTCTACAAGACTTAACTACCCTTTCAGGAGATCTATTAATCAAAACTCTGTAAGTCACAATAAATTCAAGGAAACCAAGTTGATCAGTTACCACTTTTATGATTATATTGAGCCTAGTGTGGACCCAAGATTGGGTTAGAGGTAACTTTGTTATGAAAAAGTATTTAAACAATAAATACAAGGAAACCAAGTTGATCGGTTAACACTTTTATGATTATATTGGGCCTAGTGTGGACCCAAGATTGGGTTAGAGGTAACTTTGTTATGAAAAAGTATTTAATAAGTGATGAGGGGTAATTTGGTCCTCCGAATTATATCATGACACGTGGCTTTTAAGTGATACTTCGGCGTTGGGTAAGCATATCACCTCAGCAAGTTGGCTAGTAACACCTCACCCAGGGCCGACCTAAGGTACCTCAGCTTGGCCGACCTAAAGGACCCCCGAACAAGGAGTGACCTCTCTCAAGGACCAACCGAGCTAAAAAGGGTAAGATTAGCAACCTATAAGGCGTGCTCACTGACTTGTTACATAGATAGATCTATTACCAGACTGAGTCCTCCGGAGTATCAATGTTCGACCGTTAGGGCAGTCTACCCGCATCACGCGCATTAGAGCCAATCAGACGGACATCAACCCTCTACGTAGATTACATAATCAACGTAAATACTCTCTCCCAGCTTAGTGGAAACGGCTCTTTGGGAATATAGGACCCATTACAAAAGGTCTCTAGTCCCTCACACCTATATAAAGGCACCATCCTCCTCAAAGAAGGTACATGCAATTAAGCTCTCGTACTCTCTAATCTTCTTAGCATTCTAAAGAATTATTCGCTGACTTAAGCATCAAAGTGCCCACCCCGGGTAAAAACATCCCAAGCACTCTAACATCTTTCTCTTGTAGAACTACCTAGCTCGGCCAGATTTAGCTCAACCACCAACAAGGGAAACTTCGAACTCAACGTCCAAGTCACCTGCCAAGTGAGAAAAGTCAAATCGTGCACCATCAATTGGCGCCATCTATAGAAACGCTATGAAAAGCTAAGTTCTCACCTCCCAACACTTTTCATAACAACATCAGTGGCTTCTTCAAGCAATCAACCAACCAACACCAATAACAACAATTAGGTCAATTGGGGACAGGACCAGCTTGGACTGATTCCAAATGTCTCCTCAATGATTATTAGACAAATCAATGTGCCATTGACTCTCCCAGGCATCCCTCCTACCCTAAAACCGGCTTTTCACCATCTCAAGTGAGCGCGCCTCTTCTTACAGTCGAGTCCTCCTCGGCTCTTACTAGAATTGATGTGTGCCAAGTCCTTGAGTTAGTACAATGTGTCCAAGGGATGAACTCCCAAATGAAGGCCTGGGAAGATAAGTTCTCCACCTTGATAAGGGGCAACAACAACAACAAACTCAGCAGCAACAACAACAAACTTAGCAACAACACCAACAAACACAATAGCGGCAACAACAACAACATCATAATGTCGGGCTAAACCTTAACCTGGCTCTTAATCAGATTCTTGGTCAAGTCCCTAACCAGGTTCTTGACCAAAACCTGAACCATCCCCCGATGGAAGGACAAAGCTGAGCTATAGTGCCCATCAGAACTAAAGCCGCCAATTCATTCGAAGGGTCCCGAAGGAGGCACCACAAACATACTCACCGTGCCTCGAAAAAGAGTCAGCTCACCCCATCTGCGAGCGAGATGGATAGAAAAAATGAGAACAAGGAAGCCAACCAATTAGGCAACTCATCTGCATGGCAAATATCTCGCACCCCACCGCTGGTCGCCGAGATACTCACAGTTCCAAGGCCTAAAGACTTCAGAGCCCCCAACCTCGAATCTTACGGTGGGATGACAAACCTCACGGACCATGTTGACAATTTCTAGGCCTTAATGCAACTACACGGGACCAACGATGTGAGCCTGTGCATGGCTTTCCTGAAAACTCTCTGATGCATAGCTTGGATGTGGTACTAGGGATTAGCTTCCGACTCCATAAAAAGATGGGACCAGTTCACCAACCTGTTCATCACTCACTTCACCACTAGAAAAAGGTGACCCAAATCTGCAACCTATCTACTAAATGTCATGTAGGGACCAAATGAGACATTCCGTGAGTACATCAAAAGATTTTACTTGGAACGTCTCTAAATCCCCAACCTCGACCCAGTGGTACAGTTCACCGCGGTAGTGAACAACATCCACCATCCTGTTACGTTGGAAGATCGAGTTGAACCCTCCAACTTCTATGGAGAAATTCCTTGCTGAAACAGATAAGTTTACAAAGGCGGAAGAGGTGCTGGGATCCCGATTAGAATTGTCCAGGAAGAGAAAGCGAGCAAAAGAAGAAGCAGGAAGCAGTAAACAACGACAAATGAATAAGGTGCCAAAGAAAAGTCGATCACCCCGTAGCAAGTAAAGCAAGTTGCTGAGAAGAAAGAGCAAGTCTCCCCATCGGAGTTCAGGCTCAGGCCGACGATTGAGAACCCCGTGAATACAATATAGAAACTATGCTGCTCTCAATGCAAAAATGGGTGAAATTTTAAAGCATATAAAAATAGGAGTATGTAACATGGCCACACTCAAACGTTGAGATGTGCATGTGGGGCGCTACGGGGCGCGCATATAATCTCGGTAATGTAATGTGCGGCTGCAGTGTAGTCTAGTGGGTAGGGTGTGGGCAGGAAATGAGTAGAACCGTAGAAGAAGAAGCGGGCTTGTGAAATGTGAAACTCAACTTCCTTGTTCAAATCGATTTTGCTACCGCCAAAAGATAGAAATGAAGACATCCGTTGTTACATCGCAGTCGATGGAAAGCCAATTATAGGGCAAAAAGGAGAAGAACCTAAAATCAATGGAGCGAGGGATGATAAGCGTGGATCAGTGGAGTGAAAGGAGTCAGGCCTATTTCCTGACTCATCTCCATTCAGATCACACCAAGGGCTTATCTTCCCAGTGGAGCAAAGGCCCACTCTTCTGTTCTCCCGTTACAGCTAAGCTTTTTCCCGTTAAATTTCCCGAGTTCGACTTCTCATTGCTTAGGGTTTTGGAAATCGGTTCATCCCATTTGCTTTCTTTGGTCTCTCCTACCACTGGATCGAAGACTACGGTTCAGGTCACAGCCATTGATGCTCATCATTGCCCTGGTAATAAGAAGTTTATTTAGAATAAGAGCTTTTAGCTTTGCTTGTTCGTCATTTGTTGCATTTAAATATCGAAGAATGAATTGTTTTTCAAGTTTATATTCTTTCTGAATCACGACCTTTTCTTTTCTCTCTTTTGGAACTGAACATAACGGTAGACCACGTTGGAGATTTTAGTTTAACGCTTCAAAAAAAAAAAAAAAATCTGAGACGGATGTAAAAGCTGCAATATCATTATATTCCTATTGGGCAGTTATTAATGGTCTGCTGTCAAGCTTATGTATTTCATTTGTTTGTCTTTGGCAGGGGCTTCAATGTATTTGTTCCAAGGTGAATTCGGCTGTGTGCTATATACAGGTGATTTCCGTTGGGAAGCAACCAGTGAAAGGGCTAAGCTAGGGAAGGACAAGCTCCTCAATGCTCTTGGGAATGACAAAGTGGACCTTCTTTACATAGACAACACATATTGTAATCCATTTTATTCCTTCCCCCCTCGAGAAGTTGCTGCTCAGCAGGTTCACTTTAATCTCTATTCCTTCAGGCTTCTGATTGCCTCTAATTAATAAAATAGTGATAAAAATTGTATGATTAATTTAGTTCATTATTTACTGCACAAGTTGATCGGTTAGGTCTGAGAGTGACCACTTTGCGCAAGAAAATGCTGAAGGTTAGGTCTGTGTCCAGTCTATCCATCCCAAGTTGCCAGGACCCGGGATCAACATTGAGTAATGACTAATGACGCTTTGCAAGTTGCTCTATTGGCCAAGACTAGTTAACCACATATTAATAAACTAGCTTGAGGTCAAGTTTCCTTGCACAAGAAGATTGTATAATAAGCTAACATTAAGCATTAAGATGATATTGGTATTTCCATAATGTTAATGGTTGGAGACAGAAGAGTGGACAAAGAACGTTGTTAATAGTGTTCTAAAGTCGTTAACTATTTTTTCCCCCTAAACATATCAGTAATTACTTCAATGTGTTTTTCATATTCCTCTTCAGATAAAGCGATTCATTAGGGGCCATTGATTGGTGTAATGGTAAAATGTCAAGCTGAAGGCATGAGAATATGGGTTTGGGTATGAGAGTGGACACTTTGTGCAAAAAAATGCAAAAGGTCAGGTCTGTATTCAGTCCAACCCTCCCAAGACCTTGGATGGCCAGGACAAAATTGGGTTATGTTTCTTAGCTAGAAGTGGTTCATAATTTTGGGATCATAAAAGAGAAGGTATATGCATGTTCTGCTTTTGTATCAATGCTCACAGTTGAAGTTATGTGAAGATGAATGGAATTTTCAGCAAGAAATAAAACTATTTTTAGTCATCTGAAGGTTCAGGTGATTCTTAAAGAAAGTAAATAGTAGTGTGCTTGAGAAGATATAACAAGTTATAGATTTGAGAAACCTACAGACATAGTTGTCAAGGTGTTGCCTGTATGCATGTTCTGCTTTTGTATCAATGCTAACACTCACAGTCGAAGTTATGTGAAGATGAATGAAATTTTCAGCAAGAAATAAAAACTGTTTTTAGTCATCTGAAGGTTCAGGTGATTCTTAAAGAAAGTAAATAGTAGTGTGCTTGAGAAGATATAACAAGTTATAGATTTGAGAAACTTATAGACATAGCTGTCAATGTATCACCTAGGTGACCTTATTATAATATCATTTATATTTCTGCATCATATTAATGTGTGTTAATACATTCTATATATATCATTACTTTGTTTTAATGTTTTACTATTATTGAAATTTAAAATATCAAAGGGTTTTGAGGAGAGAAAAGGAAGAAAGAAAGAACAGAAGTATAAAGATTTTTCCCCCTATTCTCTCTCTCTCTCTCTCTCCAATTAAGCAAAACAGCATCTTCATCCTTTCTTTTTCTATTTTACTTTCCATATTGAATATTTATCGTATAAAGTTAAATTACCTTCTTTAGTTGCTAATAGATATGAAATAATGAAATTAAAAGATTTAAAAGATTTTTATCTTATAGATATGATGATTTGCCACATTTTGAGAGGAAATTTAATGTTCTTCACAAAGAGAATTGCTATTTTTTAATTAATATGCATGCTGAGTGGTATACTACTGAACTAGCCAAAAGATTTTTACCAAAAAAAAACTAGCCAAAAGTTAGTTTAATTCTTTTTATTGCCTAGGCAACTAGGCACCCCAGTGCTGCCCAGGCTTAGGCGCCTTGACAACTATGCTTACAGAAATTGGTTAGTCAATTTAGCTTCTCATATGGCTATAACTTTAAACACTAGCACTGGTGATTTTCTATTGAAAAAAAGCACTAGCATTAGGGACATCTGCAAAATTTTCTTTCAAGTTGCTACTGCCAAAATGTTTTTGGAAATATGAAGCTGTTGGCTTGTTGCTTGTTCCATTTCTATGTCTTGAAGAACATGGTAGTAAAGAAGTGAGCTCCTGCATAACTGGTTTTCCTCCTTGATGGTTGATTAACAGGTTGTTGACATTATTGAGTCTCACCCCGAACATGATATCATCATTGGAATTGACACCCTGGGAAAAGAAGATCTACTACTTCACATCTCACGGACTCTAAAAACAAAGGTTTGCTACTTTGCCTTACCACTATGAAAAAGACAGTGGTGATTATAAATGCCCTGTAGACCTCATAGTCTAACACATGGTGCACATGCAGAAGAATGATTCCCATCATGCTTCTAGTGGAGATTCTATGCTGAAAATGTTGAATTTTATTGACCACCCACTTTTTTTTTTATTACTTTTGATGGTTAGAGAAAGAGAAAAAAAAAAAATCTTGATGGAGTTCACTAGAAGACAATGTGCACCGTCCTCCCCAGGCTAAAACTGTTTGTTTGGGACTGTTAACCTTGACAGTTACTAGGATATGCTGAGGCTGATTATAGGTCCTATTACTGAGGTACAACATTCAAATAAAGTAGCATTTTTTACAAAGATAGAGATGTTAACCTGTGGTATCACTTGATGGTGGATGCCCTTCCTGTTCTGCATATTCCATGTGTGTGACCATGCCACTTGGATACTTTATCATGGTTCAAAAGTGCTGATATGATGACTTAATTGTTGTCAACTTTACCTTTATCAAATTCTGTTATTTTCTAGTTTTAGTTAAATATTGGCATTTTATTTGTTCTATTTGAGAAGAAATAACAAGATTATACTATAGAGCTTTAATAGTGATAGTGACTGCTATTTCAGGGATAGTGGTTTCTAATGGCTGTTATTTATGCTATTAACATAAAATCTGATGCTTGTTATTGTTTAATAGAACCTGTAATAACCATCAGTGTTTTCAAAACCAGACCGGAAAACCGGGAACCGATCACCTGACTGGTTCCATTTCACCCCAAAACTGCTTTTTTGGTAAAAAACCATTGATTTGGTCAGCAAACCGCTGACCTGGGCGGTCGAACCATCGACCCAGACAACGGTTTTTGGCCTTTTTTTATTTTATTTTTCAGAGTGAGCTGTCCGTTCAGTCCAAATGGTTGGACCATTCGACCCAGGAACTGGACCCCAGAACAGTTCCTTGTTCAGTCCGGTTTTAAAAACCTTGGTTTCAACCACTCCAGATCTGCTACCCAGCAAGTGTCCCGACATCCCTACCCACAGAACACCACTGCTGTGTATTGGGAACATCTCCCCACGAATGACGAGGGGTATTCCCAATGCATAGCTGTAATGTGCTGTGGATAGGGATGTAGGAAGAGATTGTGGGTAGCAGATCCAAGCCTGGTTTCAACAAGAATCGTTTTAACTACTAATAATGATGTTCAAAGAGTGTAGAGTGCCTTGATCTTTTTCCTTTACATATTTGAATAATGCTTCTTACTAAGAAGGTTGGCCTTGGCACAATGGTTGGGTTGCAACATTGCAACCTGTGTGACCAGGGTTCAAATCCTTGTGCATCTGTCCCTCCCCAGACCCAGCATTGGTGGGAGCCTCGTGCACTGGGCTGCCCTTTACTTACTAAATTAATGGCTGAGTGCTATTGAATGTGAACAATCATTGAGAGTAGCCACTTTGTGCAACAAAAAGAAAAAAAAAGCCCAAGGTTAAGACCATATCCAGTCTACCCCTCCCCAAACCCCAGATAGCTGGGATCAATATTGGGTAATGCCCTAAAGTTTCATGGTGTCAGATTTCTGTGACACATTATCATGCATCTATGTATCTTAAATTCATAATTTAATATTAATATCTCCAATAAAGAAGGTTAAGAAGAAGTATTTCTAAAGTATGACTAAAATTTGTGGCTTCTATTTGTTTTTAAATGCCAAATTTGCAGCTATTATCAATGTAAGATCAAATTTCAGTATCAATCATGAATAGATAAATAACATCTTAATGTTGGTGACTTGCTTTTAAGGGGTTTACCAATGGAAGCTTGTCTTATCTCATTTTTTTCTTTAATGGCTTGAACCTTTTCTATGATGGATATTTCTTTTTTGCTGCTATAGTTGTTTTTGAATATGCTATTGTTATTCTGGTGCTGTAAATGCTGAATTTTCACCTTCATATCTGTTATAATTGTTCTTTAAAGATCTGGGTGTGGCCAGAACGCCTGCAAACGATGCACCTTCTTGGCTTATATGACATCTTCACAACCGATACTTCTCTTACTAGGGTGCGTGCTGTACCTCGTTACAGCTTTAGCATTGATACTCTTGAGGGACTAAATTCAATGCGCTCAACTATTGGCATCATGCCCTCTGGTCTTCCATGGGTGTGGAGATCCCTTGAAGAGAATGCTGATTCTCCTGCTTCTTTCTCAATTTGCCATAGTGCTGGAAGCAAAGGGAGTACAAGTGATGGGCTTCATGTTGATAGATGCCAGTTGAACTCAAAGTCAAGCTCTGCCCGAAGATATCATCCTTATGCATATTCAGTTCCATACTCTGATCACTCTTGCTTTGGTGAGATAGAGGAGTTTATTAAGCTTGTCCAGCCTTCCAAAATAAGAGGAATAGTTTCTTCATCATTTAGTTACACCAATCCCCTTTACCATTTTTCCCACCTCTGTGGAGTAAGTCAATTGCCTGAGCAGTTGGGCAAAAAAGTTCAAAAAGAAGAAGAAAATGCCAGAACTGTCCAAACCAAATCTGCCATTGGATGCAGCGAGTACAGAGAGACAAAACCAAAAAGAGATAGGACCCTGAAGGCGGGTAATTTACGTGTGTACAGGAGCAGGATAAGTGTGCTTAGACGAGTAAGATGTGGTGCGAAGATTGTAGAAATGGATAATATTGATTGATCGGATTTAAATGCTACAATCATGTACCATGAATATAGAAAGTAAAGTAGTGTTGTATGCATTCAACTCGTATTCTTACTGGTTGCATTTGAAGCCTTGAATTGTTGCAAAAAATAAAATACCATTGAAATTAAAGGTGCATGGGACCCGTGTGTGGTTGATGTGCACTGGCATTTGGCAATCAAAGTTCAAAATATCAAAATGTATTGGGCTGTATCGGCTGATATGCATCATATCGGTGACCTCCTGATTGCCCCTACAGTGAGTGCTTTGGGGTCTGACCTGGTTCAGGGGGTACATAGGCTTTAAACTGACCCCCTAAACCAGTTTGAAAAAACAACACTAAAAAAAGCGAAGCTTGATTCAGGCCGATACACCCCAATTGCTGTATTTTGAATCTTGTTGGCAATGAGCTCATTTTGATTCAAATTGATTTGAGTTGATTGTTAACCATATGATTTTGGCGTTTGCAGTGAATCCTCACTGTTCTTCCAAAATCGAGTTTGGGGATGAGTCAAAGCGTGACACCGTGACCTTCCCAGTAACCTATGTACGTGGAGAAGGCAGGAATTGTGTTGGTTGTCACCATCCATCTTCTTAAGGCTGTGTTTGGTTGCACTGCAAATAAATTTACATTAATGTAAAACTATGGCTGTGTAAATGATTTGAGTGTAAATTCTGACCAATTTTTTGTTTTAAATTTTAGCTTATCTTGTTTGATTGCATTACAAGTGAAGTAAATTAAGACATGAAGTAGAATAAAGCAATGGTTTTCGAACAGCTATTGATTCGGATGGTCAGACCGTTTGGCTTGGGAACCGTCTAAGCAAATGGTTCCATTTTACTCCAAACCCGGTCCTTGGCAAAAAACCGTTGAATCAGTCAATGATTAATTGACCCAGGTGGTCGAACTGTCGACCCGGAAACCGGTGGTCAGAACGGTTCTGTTTTCGGGTCGTTTTTTAAACAAGAATTTGCATTTATTACATTTGCACTCCCATGCATTTATACTAGTGCAAATAAATTTGCACTGCAACCAAACACAGCCTAAGGAGGCATTTGGTTCCATTGAAAACAGTGCCACATTGCAAGGTTCAAAGTATTGATACATATCGGCCTGTATCGGCCAATATGTATCGTATCGGAGCCTTCACGATATGCCCTTACAGGGGGTGTTTTGGATTGGCAAGTGGTTCAAGGGTAAACCGGCCTTAAACCGGCACCTCTGAACCAGATTTGAAAAAAATAAAAAAAGAACAGAAAAAAAAGAGTACCAATACAGGCCGATACGCCCTACTGGCGTGTCGCCCTGTATCGATACTTTGAACCTTGCCACGTTGGAGTCACATTGGCAATTCATCTTCAACGGTTAAATCATTGTTTGGCTGGCTGTTTTCTCCCAAAATGGCAAAGATGCATCATTAAAAACTCGGGCCATTTGTGGAAATGGCACATGGTTGTTGATGTGGCACTGTTTTATTAGAAAATAGCAATGAAGCCAAATACATCCAACCATTGTTATTTTTTGAGAAAACACTAGACTATTGTATTGCCATTTTCTGAGAAAATACAACGAAGATATGGCAATGAAACCAAACACCACCTAAATGCACTTGTTTATCTTCATTTATGGTGTGCAAATTTGCCGGCGCATGCAAAGCATTTAATTTAAAAGTTGAGGTCTAATGGATGATAGAGCACATGATATCCTTTGCTCACAAGGAAAGAAACAAAATTAGGGGAAATCTAACTAAAACCAACCCCATAAATTTTAATTTTATCATACACTCACAACAATTTAAAACCTCCAAGTTTCAAGTTCCAATTCCTTACTTATGACACCATATCTTTGATGAGGGGTAATTTGGTCATGAAGTGACACTATAGAATAGTTGGGTGACACCTCGACACCATATAAACAGACCATTTTGGACACTTCACAGCTCCAGTAGGCCGAATTGCGAACAGTTAGACAGGACCTTAGGTCAGTGTAAGAAGTGACCTACTTTCACTGAACTGCCATAATCCCAGTTAGTGATCTACCTAATGTGCCGAGCATTCTCCCCCCTTAAGTGGTCAATCACCTTCGAATTCCCCGGGATCATGACGCCACACTGGAAGAACTGGCTATCACCCCCCCATTTCGGACGAGATTGGATAGACGTTACTTGCCTACACGGAATCCACCTCCAAGTGTGGAACCACCTTCGAACCGGATGGGCCGGAGATTTCAGACGTGTTTTGTGAGGCTCACGGCAGCTCGCCTATGTAAGGACCTCACCTCCACCCTCATGAGGTATGCGCGATTTAACATTCACAACTCTCTAACTTTTTAGCTCTCTCAAGACTCTTTATTAACTTAAGTATCAGAGTACCCACACCAAAAAAGCGTCAGATCACACATCACCAACCCTAAAGTATCTGACAATACCCCTAAAGTTTAAAATCCTACTTAAAGTACCCTTAAACTTTTAGAAACATGACACATACTATCCATCTGTTAATTATCCATCACATTCCGTTTATATATGACAACAAATGACACTTTTTTTTTTTTGGTTAAACCCAGTTTCGCTCTTACTACCAACTTAATCTTGTTATGCCATTTCTTTAACCCAATTGGTTCAGAAAAGGAAACCAAGCATTTCTGCTGTGCAAGATCCAATCCTTCGTGTATGGATTAAGGTGGTCAGTGCTATATAGTGCTATACCTTTACTTGATGGCAGGGAGAAACATGTGATAACTAGGCTTCTTGTCTCATCTAGTCAGATTGATTGTGTTATTGAAATAGGCTACTCCATCATAGCTAATTGCTTCCATATTTCAATTCCATGAATCTCTCTCTCTCTTAGGGAGGATTAGCTTTCTGGCGTCCTTTTCTAACAATGATTCTTCGATGTCCAAACCGCAATTTTGAAACTAGTTTTTTGAGATTTTTTTCCAAATCTGACTTTTGATCCACCCTCTATTATATCTGTTAATTGAGATTTGGAGAAACAATCAGAGTGAGTCACTATTAGATTTCACTTTGTAATATAAAAGCTCTTTCTTTTTTTCTTCTGAAATTCTGTCAATTTCATGGTTTAATAATGCATTATTTACCATATAAACAAGAATTGTACACACTCGCAATAACCTCTATTAAACAACAAAAGTTTTGTTTGCTAATTTCCCCATTTTCAGAATTTCTCGAAACTTCATTTATCTGAAATGTTTCAAAACTAGCTTTCATATCTATCTAATTCTAGAAGATACTATAAAATACAGCTTCCTATTCATCTATATGTCACTCTCATCATTATATATATATTTTTTACATCTTTATGTGAAATTGTCTAGAACCCACCATCACTTTTTATGACTTCTCTTAAACTCATCACAACTTTTTAAAACGTCCAAAACTCACTATGTTACTAACTTGACGTTAAACAGACTAACGGGAGTTAACACATTACCATTTTACCCTTCATAGAAAAATATAAAATATATACCTATATATTTTAATATTTTAACTACAAAAACATGAAAAAAAGGAAAATGTTCAAAAAAATATTTTCAAATATAAAATACATAAAAGCACAGAAATTACAAAATAAAATAAAAAACTATAGAAATTGAAAACAAAATTAGAAAATAAAAATTGTAGAAAAACACCTAAAATTATAGAAAAACACAGAAATTGCAAATAAATAACAAAAAATACAGAAAAATTTATAGATTATAGAAAATAGAAAAATGTAAAAAACATAAATTAGTAAAAAAAATATTGGAAATTATAACAAAACACTAAAAATGCAAAAAAAAAAACAAGAAAATTGAAAACTAAAAAAGACAAAAGAAACTTGAAAAATATAAAGATTGGATAAAAAAAAATTGCAAATATACATAAAATGATAAAAATTAAAAAATTATATATTATTGAAAAAAGTAAAAAATTGTAAAAAAACACAAGAAAATGATAAAAATTAAAAAATATCAACTAAAAAGCAAAAATTAAAGAAAAAGATTTTTTTTAATTATATATTTTAGAAAAAAATTAAAAATTACAAAAAAACTAATAAAATGATACAATTTTTCAAAAGTTAAACATTGAATCTGAAGATTGCTACAACAATTACAAAAATATTGTTGCATAAATTTGTAGAACACTCGATGGGGATTTACATTCCATATTCAAAAGAGTACGTTGCAAATGTTTCAAAACATCAAAAATCTTTGAAATTTATGATCATATTCTTTCAAATCTTCAAACTAGTAGATTGTCTTCTTCAAGATCTGAGTAAGAAAGAAGGTGCTACGGTGGCAACAAGACCGAAGAGGGTGGTGTGGCGGCGGCAAGATCTGAGCAAGAGAGAGGGTGGTCGAGAGAGAAGGTGCTATGGTAGTGGCAAGATCTGAGCAAGAGAGAGGGTGATGTAGTGACTACCTTCAAGATCTGAGCGAGAGAAGGTGGTGCAGCAGCTAGATCTGAGAGAGAGAGAGAGAGTGATGTAGTGATTACATTCAAGATCTGAGTGAGAGAAGGTGGTGCAGCGGCCAGATCTAAGCGATGCAATGACTACCTTCAAGATCTGAGCGAGAGAAGGTGGTGCAGCGGCCAGATCTGAGCGAGAAACAAGGTGATGCAGTGATTACCTTCAATATTTGAGTGAGAGAAGGTGGTGCGGCTGCCAGATCTGAGCGAGAGAGAGGGTGATGCAATGACTACCTTCAAGATATGAGTGAAAGAAGATGGTGCAATGGTCAGATCTGAGCAAGAGAGGTAGAGCAGAGAGAGAATGAGAGAATTTTTGTCTAACCCTAACCTAAATGATCCTTTTCCCCTAATTCGCCATTCAAGGGTAATTTGGTCTTGAAAAGTGTTATTTATGCTGACATGACCATTTATGTAAAGAAACACTAACGGTGCACTAACGGAGAGTGAGTTTTGGAAAATAAAACTCATCTGACATGGTGAGTTTTGGACGTTTTGAAAAGTTGTGGTGAGTTTAAGAGAATTCATAAAAAGTGATGGTGGGTGGTTTTAGACAATTTCCCTTTTTATTTTATTTGATAGTTAAAAAAATTGATAGAAACATTAGTAGAATAAGAATAGGAAAATTATGAAGGACTCTACATCAGTTCAAGTAGTGGCGTTAGTGGTGGTTGGATGGAAAGCAGTTAGAAAGGATGAAGACTACCAGGATATGACTGTAATGACAACAATGGGGAGAAGAAAAATAGTTCAAAAATCATTTCCAGTTAAAGGTTTTTGCTAATATAAGTAACATATAATATTACTTATAAGGTTTTTTCTAATATAAGTAACATATGGATGGATTTGAAGAGAAAATCCTTGTGAATCCAAACGATATAATTAGGTGAAAACTTGAAGAATAATTGAGGGCAAAAGAGTCATTTTCTCTTATTTAACGACAAGGCATAATGGAAATTGAATTTTCAAAAGTTCAAGAAAACTCTAAGCAGAGAAAACATTACCTAAGACCAGGTTGCAGAACAACTCAATGACCCTAGTGATTTTTTAACATGCTAGTGTTTTAACGAGGCACCCCAGTGATATTTATGTCTTTTTCACCAAACATTGATGTATTCAAAAATCAATTTGGGGTCGTTGAGTTATAATGCGACCCGGGTCGCAGGTAATGTGTTATACTTTAAGGTTAAGTTTGGGAGTGCTTAAGAATAAGTACTTATTTTGAGCCGGAACTATACCAATAAGTACTTATTTGTGTTTAAGAAATAAGCCTGAAATAAGTGCTTATTCTAAGAATAAACATTTTTTAAAAACCCTTTTTTAAATGTTTATTTTCTTTCTGGCTTATCTTGGCCCGTCACGTCATTTTAAAAATATTATTTGAAAAAAAATTGATAATTTATTAGTGAAGTAATAGTATTTAAAAGTAATGATTCCTTAATTAAAATCTCTATATTAAGTTAGTTGGTTTGAATGAATTGCTTTAATTTGAATAACTAAAATAACTAATTATTTAGACTTATTAACTTAATTTCTAAAACTATGGTAGCTATTTAAAAAATATCTATTTAAACTATGGAAGCTTACTTAAAACTTTTGAAATTACCTAAACCCTAAATAATAATTACTAAAACTTTTGAAAGTTTTAAATTAAGTTTTCTACTTTATAATAATAATAATAATTAATATTTAATAAAAAACCTAAATGAAGTTGTAAGGCAATTAAGTTGTAGGAAGGCATTGGACCATAGGATGCTGATTGATTTTATAGGTGTTTAACCTTCATTGGATTGCTCACTCCAGTTTTATATTTTAATTTTTTTTTGGCATTGATTTTCAAAATGATTGGGACATTAGTTTATCTATGGTGCTATATTAATACACTTCCTCTCATGTCATCTCTCTCTCTCTTTCTCTAAACACCTACACTTATACTACATGTGACAAGAGAGTGAGACCCATCTGCAATGGGATCTCCTTCAAGTAAAATCTCCAAAGTAATACCGACCTGCAATAGGTGAGAGAGGGAAGGTAAGTAGGGATAGCTCAAAATAAGGAGACCAGATATCCTCTTCACACAACTCGTCTCACACCGATCTCATTGGCACATTTCACCTTACATTGGGAACATCTTCCAAACATAAGTGTTATCATTCATAGGAGATGTTCCAATACAAGGTGAGATGTACCTGTGAGGTCAGTGTGAGGCACGCTTAGGGATGACAATTTTTCCTATCCTCGACGGGAACCCGACTTCTCTGACCCAATGGGATCGGGGATAGGGATTGTTTTGGCGGGACGGGGATGAAGATTAATAGGAAACCCCGATTAGGATCGGGTGGAATGTTAATATATTTAACATATATATTAAATGTTATTTATATTAAATACATACTATTATATTATTTCTATATATCAAAACATATTTAAAACATTATTTATAATTTATTTTAAATAAATTTATTTTTCAAAAAAAATATTGTTATCTAAAAAACTCCGAGGATTCGGTTCCCTATGGGGAACCCATCCCCATTAGGGATCAGAGATGGAGAACAAATTTTATTCCCAACGAAATTCGGGGATGGGATGGAGGTTAGTTTAAGAATTAAGGTCGAAAACGGAGAATATGATCCTCACCCTAACCCGCTCCGTTGCCACTCCTAGACACAATGTGTTAGGAGCATATCCCAATTGCAAAATAAGCTATAATATAATAATAGGGGTATTGGCATTTTCATCTTTTTACTTGGATGGTGCCTCCATATTCGTACCGTAATTAACTAATATGTTTTACAAAATAGTTTTACTCTCTAATAACAGTAAAGTATATAGATATTATTTTTGGCATAAGTTTGATTTTTATATTTTCTTTGAAACTTTTATATTATGTGAACATCAAAATTTACAACTAAGATAAAACAAACTTTAGTTTTTTATCATTTATTGTTCTAATAAATTAAAGTGATAATGGAGAGAAGATCAGTTAATATACCTACATTTGGGTGTCAGTTGAATTCTAGTATAAGCTATATAAATCAAGGAAAATTAGGGAAAAAGCTTGATGAATAGAAGCTCTCTCTCTCCGATGGACGACCTAACTCAATACAAGGTGGAGGTATTTGTGGTGGTGAATCGATTCCAATATGACGACAGAAATGAAATGACATTTTGTATGAGGTTGTTGTAAAGGCCCACTCTAGGACAGCTAGAATTTTTTATCAATGCTCGAGGATGCCCCAACTCCCCTCTCCATCTCGGGTTAGCAATGGACCGGGTTAAACAATTACTGGGCTCTATCTGTTAGTATATAAGAACAACAAATTCCTAAAAATATGCAGAGGGCAAATGGGCTTAGACAATGCGGATAGAGTGAGAGGAGGGAAGAAGAGAGAGAATTTGTAGATGAGAAAAAATGGGAAATTTTTGCAAGTCATTTTTCTCTGTTTCTCTCTCTCTCTCTTTTTTTTTTTTTTTCTACCAAACCCAAAATTTAATTTTACTTTGATTTTCATTTAGTTGTTTGCATCTCTTATTTGGAGTCATTGTTATTATTTCTTAGTTGCCAGTTGTCCAATTTTTAGGTTGATTTAAGCCATTCCTAGGCTTATGATTTTGCTGAGTGTAATTTAATTTCTCTAATTTCATAATAAGCTATAAGAGAATACACACGAAGTGCACACTCATTGTTCAAGGTATGGCATCGTTTTATTTTCGTTTATCATTCTTTTTGCTTGAAATAGCTGTCCATGTTCTATTTTGGTTGATCAAGTGATCAAGTCTCACAGTTCTCACTTCTCAATTTTCCATAAAAATTGTATCCAATTGGTGTTGCCAAAAGTATCACAAGGTTGAACCCTGAAACCATATTAGACAAACAAGTTTTGTCATCCTGAATTGGCCAATAATTAATAACCATCTATGCTTATGCTTTTAGTTTTTTTTTTTAATTGTAAAAAAAATGTTTGCACATTTAAAGGGTTCTTTCTTGTATCCATTCTTTAACAAGTATGAATAAATTGAGTTATTTATCCCAAAGAATGAGGTATAAATTGCTAAAGTTCGATTTTTAATTGAAAATTATATTAACTTTTTCCTTCATGTTTAATCTCCCAATTATTCAATAAAGAATTATTTGAAATTATTTCCTTGCCTTCCTATTTGAGCACGGGCCCTTTCTGCTAGTAAGTGCTTATTAGAATAAACATAAGGTTTGAAACTTTAGGGGTAGTTTTAAGTAATTGTCAATACTTCAAGAGTAGTTGAAGTAATTAATCTAAAAAAAAGTTGACTGTTACAGTTAACCTCTCAGAGCGGCAATTTCTCCATCTTTGATTGATTACATGATATTGAAATGAGCGGCTAATGTGGGCTGAAACCTTGTTTGAGCACTGGATTATCTTTGTTGACTTAAAAAGAATACTATCGAACCATATGTTGTTCTGTGACCTTGAGCTGGTTCAGCTATACTTGTTTTCTCTGAAAGGAGGTTGGAGGTTCACAGTTTCACATTTGGGAGAATGTTTTTTGCAGAGATGGGAATAACCACCAAGTCATCCATCACTGCCCTAGTTTCTTTCTTCTTTTTGTTCTCTCTCAAAGCCTATCACTCCGTTGCGGTGGACAGAATCATTCCCGGCCAATCTCTCACAGGAAACCAGACCATAATCTCTAAAGGTGGTATCTTTGAATTGGGTTTCTTCACTCCAGGTAAGTCTCGAAACTACTACATTGGTGTCTGGTACAAACAAATCCCATCTCAAACCGTTGTTTGGGTGGCCAACAGAGATAATCCCCTACCCAGTCCTTCCTCAGAATTTAAGCTCTCTGAAGATGGGAATCTAGTCCTTCTCGACAACTCCAAAATCCCAATCTGGTCAACAAAGTTGAGCTCAAGCGCTAGCAGCCTAAATTCTTCTGTAGCAGTTCTCCTTGACACCGGAAATCTTGTCTTGAGACGGGCTTCGACTTTGTCTCGTGAATGGCAGAGCTTTGAACATCCGACGGATACATGGCTGCCTGGGGGAAGGTTGGGCATGAATAAAATCACTAGGGAAGTCCAACGCCTTGTTTCATGGAAAAGCGTGGAAGATCCTTCTCCTGGAATCTTTTCTCTTGAGATAGACGAAAATGGAAGTAGCCAGTATTACTTAGTTTCAAAAGAATCATATAGATACTGGAATAGTGGTCTATGGACTGGGCGGATTTTTACCTCAATCCCTGAAATGACTTCGAGCTATTTCTATAGTTTCAGCTATGTGTCCGATGCAAAAGAGAACTATTTCACTTATACAGTCAAGGATCCTTCTGTTCTTTCAAGGTTTGTGATAGATTTATCAGGGCAAATTAGGCAATATACTTGGGTGAATACCAGCCAGCAATGGCTATTGCTCTGGTCTCGTCCAAATGATCGGTGCGATGCTTACTCACTTTGTGGGCCTTTTGGTAGCTGCAATCCTAGAAGCTTGGCCTTCTGCGACTGCTTGCAAGGTTTCGAACCAAGGCGTCCCATGGACTGGAATTTGAGTGATTGGTCCGGCGGTTGCATGAGGAAAACCCCTCTGCTATGTGAAACTAATAATTCTGTCAACACAGAGGAAGATGGATTCTTGATGATGAGAGATATGCATTTCCCGACAAATTCAGAGAAGTTGTCAGTGGCCAGTGCTGAAAATTGTGAATCAGCTTGCTTGAGCAATTGTTCTTGTTCTGCTTATTCCTACTACAGCAGTGGATGTTTCATATGGATTGGAGGCCTATGGAATTTGAACCAACTCTTGGATGGTGATACCCATGGAGTAAATGTTTATCTCCGACTTTCGGCCTCTGAGCTGCCTAGTTCTGAAACTAAGAAGAAAAAATCAGTTTTTGTAGTTATCATGGGTATAGTTGCAGCAACTTTAGCACTCCTATGTATAACTTCCTTGTTAATACGTAGGTTCCGGAGGATATTGTTCCCAAGTTCTTTGAATGTGACACAGGGCACGCTGGTGACATTTCGGTATAGAGAACTACAGATTGCGACCAAGAACTTTTCTGAACCGTTGGGAAGAGGAGGTTTTGGTTGTGTTTTCAGAGGAACACTGCCTGACTCGAGTGCAATTGCTGTTAAGAAACTTGAAGGAATCAGACAAGGAGAAAAGCAATTCCGAACAGAAGTGAGCACGGTCGGTTCAGTCCAGCATGTTAATTTGATTCGACTTCGTGGGTTTTGCTCTGAAGGTACTAACAGGCTGCTGGTTTATGATTATGCACCCAACGGTTCTCTAGAAACTCATCTATTCCAGAAGGATTCCAAGATGTTAGACTGGAAGACGAGATACAGAATTGCACTGGGGACAGCAAGAGGATTGGAGTACCTCCATGAGAAATGTAGGGGATGCATCATACACTGTGACATCAAGCCGGAAAATGTACTATTGGATGCTGAATTCTATCCCAAAGTGGCAGATTTTGGCCTGGCCAAGCTTCTCAGTCGAGATTTCAGCCGTGTTCTTACAACGATTAGAGGGACCAGAGGCTATCTTGCACCAGAATGGCTTTCGGGCCTAGCCATCACACCAAAAGCTGATGTCTACAGCTATGGGATGATGCTCTTTGAGATAATCTCAGGCAGGAGAAACCTAGGGAAAGCTGAAGATGGAATGGGTAGTGAGTTCTTTCCTACACAGGTTGCAACCAAAATTAACAGGGGTGAAGAAGTGATTGATCTATTAGATTACAGGTTGGAGGGTAATGTTGACACAGAAGAGCTCAGTAGAGCTTGTAGAGTTGCATGTTGGTGCATTCAAGATGATGAATGCGAAAGGCCATCAATGGGACAGGTTGTTCAGATGCTGGAGGGAGTCTTAGAAGTGAGCATGCCTCCAGTACCACGGTATCTACAGACTCTTGTGGAGAATCAAGTGCATTATGAGGTATATGGGGAGTCGTCTTCCCGGTTTATTACATAGTTTGCTTGACATAACATCTATTTTGTTAGGTAGGTCAAGAACACGCTACCTTCACCTTTGCTTATTACCTGAGGATGAAATTCTCGATCCATCCATTTGCATACGGTTGAATCTACGTACTCATGTGTTTCTTCTCTTGGAGGTCTCTAGTTTTAGTATATGCAGTAAAGCTTCTGTCTAGTTCACTCTTGTATCATAGATTTGTAGTCTTAACAGTATCCCCCAATGTTGGAATTGCACAGCGGAAATAATGTAATTATAAACAGGAGAAAATACAAAGATGACTTCACTGAAATCACACCTGTACCCGACACTCAATACACCCAAACACAATACTCCTCTCAACACACTGCATACACTATACATTGAAATGAAATGGAATATATTTTCAAATACATAGGGGTGACCCCTATTTATACTTGAGCTGAGGGGTATAATGGGGTTTTTTAATAATTTTCTTCAATGTTAAGTAAACAACAAAAATGGTGTGCCACCGAACAGAACAGTGTGCCACGGTTCAATATGGTGGGCTCAGCTCGGTGGGCCACCGATTGTAAATTCGGTGAGCCACCGACTGGCCCACCTTTTTTTTACTTTTCAACATTCTCTCACTTGAAGACAATTTTCAAAGTGAAAAAAAACTTGCTCGAGAATAGCTGCTGATCATCTCTTGCTATGTGGCTTCAAGTCCCAGAGAAGTTCTACACCAGATGAATTTCTCCGATATATTGACAAAGCCGGTGATGAATTTCTCCCTCATCACCGGCTTTGTCAATATATCAGCAACGTTGTTGTTAGTGTGGATCTTCTGTAACGAGATCTACCCATCTTCAACTACCTCACGAACAAAGTGGTACTGTACATCAATGTGTTTAGTCCGTGCATGAAAGACAGGATTTCTTGCTAAGTGTAATGCGCTTTGAYTGTTACAATGAATAGTCACCACTTCTTTCTTGATGTGGAATTCTTTAAACAACCTCTTTAGCCAAATACTTTCTGTGCATGCTTGTGTAGCTGGCATATATTCTGCTTCTGTTGTAGATAAGGCTACTACAGATTGTAATTTTGATGCCCAGCTTACTACACCATTAGCTAAAGAAAACACATAACCAGTAATTGATTTTCTATTATCGCGATCTCCTGCATAGTCTGCATCCACATAACCAACTAGTTTTAAGCTTTGGCCACTATAACAAATAGAGATTTCAGAAGTACCCTTCAAATACCGAAGGACTCTCTTCACTGCAGTTCAATGATCTCTTCCTGGATTTGCCATAAACTTATTGACTGCTCCCACTGCTTGTGCAATATCTGGTCTAGTGCACACCATGGCAAACATAAGGCTCCCTACTGCTGATGAATATGGTATGTGGGACATCTCTGTCTTCTCAGCTTTAGTGCTAGGTGATTGTTCCGAAGACAACTTGCAACCAACAGAAAATGGGATATTGACTGGTTTAGAATCTTGCATGTTGAAGCGCCGCAAGACCCTTTGAACATAACTCTTTTGAGTTATCCAGACTTTTTTGTTCTTTCTGTCCCTATATACCGTCACCCCAAGAATCTGATTAACCGCCCCCAGATCCTTCATGTCAAACTCCCTAGCTAAACGAGCTTTCAGTGTTGAGATACTTCCTTTATCAGTACCTGCAACTAGCATGTCATCAACATATAACAACAAAATGATGAAGTGATCATTACCAAAGTATGTGTAGGCACAATGATCTGCTTCGCATTTGCCAAACCCTAAGCTCACAATGAAGGAATCAAATCGCTTATACCAACACCTTGGCACCTGTTTTAGACCGTAAAGTGATTTGGTCAGCTGACAAACCAGATCCTTTTTGTCGTTCTCGACAAAGCCTTCAGGTTGAGTCATATAAATCTCTTCTTCAAGATTACCATGCAAGAATGCAGTTTTAACATCTAACTGCTCTAGCTCAAAGTCAAGTATTGCAACCATACTCAATAGAATACAAATAGTACTTAATCGAACAACAGGAGAAAATATTTCATTGAAATCGATACCTGATCTCTAAGCATATCCTTTTACAACTAGTCGAGATTTGTATCTTTCGATATTTCCGCTAGTATCCTTTTTGAGTTTGTACACCCATCTACAACCAATGGACTTTCAATTCTAGGTAGTTTGACTAAGTCCCAAGTTTTATTTTTCTTCAGAGCTTCCATTTCTTCCTCCATTGCCATTTGCCAATGACGAGCATTTGGACATTTG